TATCTATCTATCTATCTATCTATCTATCTATCTATCTATCTATCTATCTATCTATTCAAATGTGGGAGTATCTTTTCTTTTCTTACACATTTGAAGATATGTCACAAGCTTTGATCCATCCAGTTAAATAAGGGGTCAACTTTTAAATTTAATTCTTCACAAAAGGGACCTACTCCAACTGTTATCAAGCCTCTCCATCACAACATTGCTTTCTGTTATTATAATTCAATTTTACCAAGGAAATATTTGCTTTGGCCTGCACCTCTAGCGCTCAGAGCCTTCTATAAATAAAAAGGGCCAAACTCGACCCTTACAGTCATCTGCCCATGCAGACTCTACTCTCAGCTGCATTAGTCATTGGCATAAAAAGGATGCAGGGGAAATGTCATGCCCAACCATGAATATTCATGGCATGATGCTGTCTACTTGGCGGATTCTAGTAGTTGTCATGCAAACACACACAGCCCTAAAAAGCAAAATTCATGAGGAAGATTGGAAAAGATGGTGTGCTTTGATTAGGCAGTGTGCACATCAGTTCATTCAGGGGAACCAGTAAACTTGAGGAGTTACCGGTAGTAAGAGTAACACAGCCTGTTTGTAAAGCCTTAACATAATTTGAATTTTGTTGCATTACATATACAGATGTATACTATAACATTTGCCAAAATTTCTTTGTAACTAATAAAGTGTTATCTGATTGACCAAAGGAAATTAGCACATATTGGTCTGAAGTAGAAGGTAAATTATAAATGGTTTAAAAATATTTATAAATAAATATCTGAACATTTTGGCATGAATACTGCTTGACTTAGTATTCTGTCCTTTGAAACCTTGAGAAAAACTGTACAACCAAACGCCTACAACAGTGACTGGTAAAAACAGACGGTCCATAAATTAATCTTAGTACAAATGTGGGTGTGTTTTGTTAGGCCTAAGAAGTTTGTTACAGGTCAATAGTGAAAAAAACAGCATAATTAAGATCAATGAATGCATCAGGTAGATCAGGATTAAAGTTGCGTGGAAGTTTAATCATGAAAAAAATATAAAAAAAATGTCCCAAGCTTTTACAAACCATATTACTATGCTGTCCCAGGTTCAAGATGCTGTTAACACTCCACAAACTGGCCTTTATAGAATAGTGAAAAAATAAATATTGAAAGCTAAGCCTAGTCCTGTTTACAGTTTGCCACAAGTCATCTAAAGGACACAGCAAACATGTGAAAGAATGAGCTCCCCTCATATGAAACCAAAATGAAATATTTAGGTCTACATGCTGTTTTTCAACAAGACAGAGAAGCTGGTTAGTTCATGTGCGGAGATAAAGTAACTGCAGGGTAACTCTGGGGGAAAGTTTAATGCTGGAACATTTTAAAACTCACAACCTTAAACATACAGACAAAGCAACAATGGGCATGTTTAGATTGGAAGTATGTTGTTTTTAAGAAATTATTTATTCATTACAGAACCAACTCCAACTAAGAATTTGCAGCAAGAATTGCTTAACATACAATTCAAGTGAACTTGAACTATTCTGAAAAGAATGAAATAATATTTTCAGTTTTTCTAGATTTAAAAGGCTGTTAGATGCATGTTTGAAAAGGACTCGCAAGTAGAATAGCATTGAAAAGTGGTTCAACAAAACTACAGACTCCTGTCGGCTGAATAAAAGTTTGTGCCATGCTTTTATATAATTTCTGTAAGCATGCATTACTTTCCTCCTACTTCCTAACTATACACAACTTAAATGCTGTTCAGACCATCCTTGCTTTTTCAGGTTTTACTTTTCCATTTTGTTGCTCTCAAGGCATATCAAGATACAATACAAAGATGAAAGATACATTGAACAAAAACAACGAAAAGAAAAAAAAAAGGTAATTTAACAATTTCTTAAAGGAAAATATAGCTAAATGTGCTTTTATAATGTCACAAAATGTAAGTATTTTCTAGAGGTATGAAGACTTTTGAAAACCATTGTATTTTAATTCATGCATAGCACTTTGAATTGTTTATGTACTGAATTGTGGTGAATTGGCCTTACCTTTAAGTAAAAAAATGAAAATCTACTTATTTTCTGTTTTTATACACTTCTTTCTCTCTTTTTTTTATTTCATTAAATCAAACTAAGGGACTTTTTATCCCCTGCTGTAGCAGTCAGACAGCATCCTCATTCACTTTTCCACCAGGGGAGTGTGGATCTGTTGATAACTGGGACTGAAGTGCATTATCAGTGTGTTCAGTGCCAGCCATCATGATTAGGGCTCGAGGAAGGTCACACAGATCTGATTAGACGCTCATGAGTTCTCATTACATCCTGAGTAGAAAGGTTACGGTTCCACCGGTGTGGCCCTGTTCAGGTAGTGCTCTCCAGCAGGCGATAGTGACACAGTTAATGCAGCAGGAAAGGAGCAATGTTTTAGTTTGGCTGATTTTATTTCTGCAGCTTTATCTGGAAAATGTTGAAAACACTTCTAGATTATAAAGGAAAATACATTTAGGGGAATTTAGTCCCGTATGAATAAAAAGCTTTTGTTCCACTCAGATGTTACTTTTTATATAGCAAGCTTCATTGCTATGGTGCAGAGATTGCCAAATATGGTTATAGTGGTATTCATAGCAGCTGTCATCATTACACTTGTGGCAATTTTTGCAGTAGAGCTCTGCACATTAGCAGGCACAATGAATATCCTCCAAAATCATTTCTCACACAGGGTCACTAGGGAATGAGCCTAAATGACGTTGGTGTTGACAAAAGATTATTTGGATAGTGCTCTTGTTCAAGTGACTTATCAGCAGTGGAATGAATTTAACCACAACACACTGTACGGGGTGTGAAGCAATTACAGAGTGCAGATACAATCAACCTCAAAGCTCTGTTCTGGCCTGTAATTCCCTTTTCATTACAGACCTTCCCTCTGCTTGCACAAAGACAGAGATCCTGGGAGAAAGTCCAAACCCCTGCACTCCGTCTGCAGATAGCCGTTTTGGGCTGTAATAAAGCCATTGAAGTCTTACCTTGAAAGCCTTGACGGAATCTGGAGCCAAGTGGCAGCAGTTCAGGGGTGAACTCATTATATCCACCTACAAAGAGCTGGTTGAAAACATTGAGGCCCACCAAAGGTCCAGGAGAATATCCTGTTCTGTTCCGCTGCCCATCAACCTGAGGAAGACATGTAGTAAGACATCAATATTCAAGCTGGAGTCTTGCATCTGTAGGCGTCAGGAGTGGGAGGACAATTTCACAATCTGCTGAACCTGACGAAATGTGCGATCACAGATTTATCGCTGAGTTATTCAGTCTATGTCCACTTAATAGCTGCCCTCCCAGGTTTTTGCTTCTAAACAGGCTTTTATAGGCCACTGAGTCACCAGGGATCTAAAACCTAGTTTAAAAAATAAAAAAAACACACTGCCTGCAGAATTTCCATCTGAATTCAGATGATGCAAACATCCTGTTTTACCTGGCTAAAGAAGTAAATGGACTTCTAAGAAGAAAAAGAATGCTTTACATGAAAACACAGAGCATTAATCTTAATCATTTTAAGTGTGAGAATATTTTCTTTAACAAAGGAAAATATTTTCACACTCAAAATGATTTAGATGCTAAACTTAAAGTATGATGAAAATCATGTTTTAAGTTTAGGAAAGGGTGGTAGATGTTTTAATGAGAGGTTGTGTGTGTCTCCCTGTATGCAGGATAATTTGAAAAGTTATGGACAGATTTTTATAAGATATGTCCCTCTTACCAAGGAACAATCTCTCACATTGATCCAGATCATAATCTGGATACAGGATTTTTTTTTTTTTTTTTTTTTTTTTAAGATTCTCTAACATCGGGAGATTGGGGGATTTGATGGAACAAGCAATTCCCCACTAAACCAGAGGTTGGCAGCAGTGACTATGACAGCATCAGTATAGGACTAAAAAAGTCCGGAGGTATTTTACTAAAGACAAAAACACGAGAAAAGGGAACAAGTGCTAATCTAGTTATATATGTTTTATATTTGGCTGCAGATGGCAATTAGCCATGCAGTGGAATCCATTTATTGGGGCTTTCTTGATCACTAAACACACAATACCCAAAACCTTACAGATTACAATGAAAATTCCTCTTCAGTGTGAAAGTTGTAATTGAGAAACGAAGACTTCATTTTTCTGCCTTTGCTTCATTCAGGCTGGGAAGGAAATATTCTATTTTCTTCTTTTTATCCTGACATTACTTTATAAATAACTTCTTTTTAGTGAAACTGAATCTCACTCCAAATTGAACGAAGGAAACAGATGTAAAAAAAAAAAAAAACAGCATAAAGCATTAAATAACCTTCAGCCAGCCTGTTCTTTTGAATCTTCCAAAAGTAACACTGTGGATAGTGGTCTCGTTGTTGAGTCGATCACTGACTAAGGTTGCTATTCCTGATCCAAGGTTAAACCTGTGGACAATTCTTCCACTTCGTAGTCCTAAAACGAGGAAGTCATCACCATCGCTGCCTGAAAATACATGGAAACAGAGGCTATTAGTAGTGACCAAAAATATAAACTAACATATGTCACAAAATACATTGAATTTTTTGCATTTACGGAAATAGGAAATAATCGGCTGTTTGACACACATAACAGTGATTGTAAAATAAACTGCATGTCATAAACCTTGATCTTTATTTAGCCTTGTTTGTAACTGTTCCCAAGGGATCTAAATGTAAAACAGTGCATGTGGGGCAATTTAGTTTCATCTCAGTTTTCTTGTAGCCATTTTCAGAGTTGGAAGGATCAATAAGCATGTAAACACTGTCATCATATATATATATATATATATATATATATATATAAGCACCAATTACATTTATTTTATAAAAATTGTTGGGGCTCTGGTGATTTAACTTCTTAATTCTGTTAATGTTCTTGATGTACTCACATGAAATCATAGATTTTTATCTAAGGATGCGTTTTACTTAAGCACACATCAAATAATATGTGCTACGACATTTCCTGATGAGGCTCACAATAGATGCCGCTTCATTAAGCAGTTATTTCAGTGAAATAATCACATTAAATCTATTCTTATGTTGGGCCTTCGTTCTAGGTAGTTGCATCACACTCTCACGAGTGTTTCATTATCTGAGCTGTTCTTCTGTTGTTTTGCCTCCACCTTGATGGACTGATCTCTCATGAGAAAACAAGTGTAGAGATCTGTTTTTTAATTCCTCTTTTCATTTAAGATGAAATATGCTGCTGACAATGGCACAGCAGCTACGAGCAACCAAATCTGACCCCACTGTGGAGAAAAACTAATTTAACGTGAAAGCTGCCAACAGCATCTCACCTCAAAGCGTGTCGGACTTTATTAACATTAAAACTTCCAGGTTGATTTGTTCACATGTTCATTTTATTCATGTGACGCTAACTTTCCCCACGCATGTCAGAAACAATAAAACACCAGCTGGAAATCATAGAATTGTTGGACTGTGAAAAAGATCATCAATGTTGTTTCAGAGTCTATCAGGAAAAAAAGCCCTCAGGGAAGTCTCTTTGATTAGAGCATTTCAGACGAGGGTAAAAATCCCTTATTTAGTATATTACCATACACAGCATTTGACAAAAATGGCTCTAACAGTTCGCACAAAACCCTCAATTTAGCTAGAGGACTCAAAAGGCATCATTCCTCTATCTTTTTCTATCTTCACCTGCTGCTATGAAACCTTTTAATAATCTCTGTGGGTGTCAGGGTTCAGCTCACCTTGTCCTTTCTGTCCAGCAAACAGGATCAGGTTGTCTCTGACAGCAGATGAATTATTTCCAAGCGTGAACCTCAGCTTGAACTCATAGAAGAAGGTGAGGCTTGGGATGGAAGTGAAGGCCACAAAAGATGTGTAGCCAAACTCATCAGTTCCACTGAATCTGGCACGAGTTACATTTATGGCTGAGAAGAAAAGAGACAGAGAGAAAATAAGCAACAAATCTCAGCAGCTGCTGTGAGGTTTTCTCTGTTGGAGTAGTAAATTCAGATCTGATTCATTGGCTGCGTCATGGTTCACCAAAAGATGGCACTATTGCCCCATGTTATAGACCCTAGTTTGAAGAACATGAATTTTCTTTTCTGATGCTATTAGATGATGACCTGTTTTCAAACACTTCCACCTCCTCACTCCTATTCTATTTTCATCAGTGGCTATTTAGGAGGGATTCTGGCATTCAGGCTTTATTTTATACGCAGTGTTCACTAGGGTAGCACAATAATCCAGATGATATTCAATTACAATCTCCAGTTTACACACTCTGAATTCATGCTTGATTCAATAATGCTTCCCACTGCAATTCATCTGAACACACCCATCTATTTGATTTAACACATGGGACTAAGTGTAAAGTTGCTCACGCTCAATCAAAATTACACTGTGCCATGTTTTATTATTTTTTTTCTTTTTCATCAGTTCTCTTTACAGAGACGAGGAACCCAGAACAGATAAAAAGGCTCATCTTTTCTGTGCGGAAGCTCCTTGCGTGTTCTTCTGCAGCCTCAGGCAACGGCTAAGAGTGCTTCAGAGCACCCCTCTGCGACTGCCCTCAGCTCAGTTTGGCTCCTAAATTATTAATAAAGCTGCAAAAGCTCTAGTTATTGTCTGCTAGATCAGTTTGCCTCAGTGAATTGTCATTGCGTTTCTTTATCTCCATACATGGCTGTGCTTAATTAGATCATACAGATGCTGATGGATATCTCTCCCATTAAGTTCCTTGCACTCATGAGTCAAGACTAGTAACACATTAACACTTTATATGCAGCTAAACAAACGGTGTTTTCTCAATGTTTCACAGCCTAATAAGAATTTCTAATCAAACTTGATTTGTTTTTAAATTTACGATGACAGGATTTGAGGTTTATTGTTTTTTTCCGTGTAAAATGACTGACGTGTAGCAAATTGCTTTTGCAAAGAAAACAAGAAGCAAAAAGCCTCTAAAATGCAGTTAATTTATTATTATTTTTTTTCTCATTAAAGCAAGCTTCAGAAAAGGTGGATTCCCCCCCCCCCCCCTTTTTTTTTTTTTACAATTTCATCCTCTCCTTCAGATGCATTGAAGGACAAAAAGATTTCATATGTGTAATTTTTAAAATATTCTGGAGCCTCTTTTGTGCATTCTTTTGTGAAAGCAATGTATATACATTTTTGCTTCCCTCTGCCTCTCCTTAGGTAAAGCAAAACTGCAACATGATGCTGCCACTACCACATTATTTAATGGAATGGATGGTCTGTTCAAGCTGTTAGTTTTTTATTTATTTTTACCTCTACAAAATTAGCATTTTGCATGTTGGCTTATAAGTAGATCTTTGTCTTAGCAGAGCAGACAAATGGCAAAGAGGATTATATGTGGGCGTCTTTCTCCGTTTCCACAGTTGCCCCAGTATTTCATAAAGGACATATTTGTGGGGAAAAAAACTAATATTTACACCATGAACAGATTTTCCTACCCAAACCATTGATCTCTGCAGCTTCTGATCAACCATGGTCCTTGCATGCTTGTTAGTTTAGGTGGATAGATACATCTTGATAGATCTATAGCTGTGCAATGCTTTCTATTTCCAGATGAAGGGCTGATAGTGCTCTGATAGGTAAATGTATGCCTGATTTGACTCTTATGTTTCTTGGCCTTCATGATGCTGTTTGTTCATTTTCTTCCACAGAATAGTTGAATATATAAAATATATTGAGATTAAACAACACTTGACTGGACTGTGCTTATTAAATATGAGGGAATCATAATTGGATTCTATTAAGCAGTATCAGAGTGAAGCAGGTGTAATAGGCAGCAATGTTTTATGTGTGAAACAATAAAATAAAAAAACTTTTTTCTCCCTTTAATTCACAATCTATTACATAAAATCACCAGATAATACATTATTTTAAAACCCAAACCTTGTGTTAAAGGAGCTTCAAAATGCACCACAAAGTGCCCCAGTCTTTGTACCACAGAAGAAAAATGCATCTTTCTGTGGATTGTAATGCTTCATCCAGTCAGACTGGATTAAATATTATTTCCACTTTGCCGTGTATTTGTGTAATACGGTGAAAACTGGCAGAAGCTGCAGAAATAAAACAGAGTGACATACAGCACAAGGCACTGAAATGTCTTTTGACATAAAGCTGCTTCCACACATTGTGCATCTGTTTCTCAGCCACGGAGATGCTCCAACTATGCATCACTTCTCATACATAAAACACATTTTTTTTTTATTGTAAAAGGTTAAAAACACACTAAATCAATACTAATCTGTTTTGCTGATGCTTCTATAACTTTAGCCAAACTGGAGCATTTGTTAATGGACTGTGTAAAATAAACAAGTTTAGCCAAGCATGGGCAGAATACATAATTTGTTGATCTACGAGGTAAAAGAGGTGAAACACTGCAACCCCCTGAAGCAAAATTCCAATAACATATTAGCATTGCTCAATTCTGATGCACAGCAGTTGTATTTTTAATGTGTGGATGTGATTCAGAACATGGCAGACAGGAACTGACCTAAACTCCTTCCAAGGAAAATGTAATAATTCAGTATTATGAGCTTCTAATAACTCCTGGGGTGATAAATCCCTTTTGTGGCAACAACAAGCATACATAAACCTTTTAAAGTTACTGAGGAAGTCTGAAAAATAAAGCTTTCAAAAGGCTATAAATATGGTTATCAAAATTTGATAAAATGCTCTGGCCACAAATTCTCTGTGCTTTGAATTATCATTAAGAAAAAGCAGTTGAAGTAAAATGGAAAATATGAAAAGATCTGTAAAAGTGAACATTCAGACAAACATGAAAATCAAGCCAACAAACTGAAATGAAAATCTCCTGTATACATAATAATCATTCAAAATTATTATCCAGCGTTCTTTAATTTTGCAAAGGCTGTAGGAGCTTTGCATGCATAAATAAATAAAAAACAGCCACGCATTTTTTTAATGATCATTGACATTTAGCTATAACGGACAAGGCTTTAATACTTTACAGACTCGTCCCTGAGTTTCTGCTTTTGGTAGAATCCAAATTGTCAAAATAAATAAATGGATCAAACAAGACAAGAAAATATATATTTTTGTGACACAACCTTATTGTATGTTTACTTTTCTCTGACAGCTATCTGCTTTGTTTTTTTGACTCTGTGGGGATCTATGTGTATGTCATGTCAAATCCCCTTTTTTACTTGAAATAATTTTTGCTGTTTTTTCCATAGCATCAGTTTCTCCTTAGTAGAAAGATTTAAAATTAAAGAAGGATTTTTTGGGGCTTTTATTTTGTAATATTCGATTCCACGCCTTGCAAAATAATTAACTTCCCTTAAACGTCACTTTATTGCAATGTCTAGTGTATCATAAAGGTATTGTATGTAATAGAACAACATAAATAAATAGATAAGCATCCCCACAAGACAGTAACTTTGCCTGCAAGCTAAATTTTAGCAGTTTTTTTTAGCCTAAAGACACTTGAGTATCCATCTTGTATAGCTTAATTTGAAAGTAGCTGAGTATAATCCAAAACAGGTCAGCCAATCAAATTGCAATATTATGACATATATATGTCATAGTATTATGAAAGCAAGAATTGTTGATCCCACAGCTGAACCAAAGTAAAAATGGTTACAGAGGAGTAGCTACATACATGTAGCTGCTGCTGGTCAGAATCTACTATTTCATCTTTAAAAGTCAAACAGAAAGATTGTAAAAGCACAAGTTATAATGGTTTTTCATGGCATCTTCTGCTGTTTCATTTCCTACTTTGGTTGGCCAAAAAAACTTTGCTAGGTACCAAGTTTTGCTTTGCCCAATCAGCATGAAAGAAGTGGTAAATGGTAAATGGCATGTACTTATATAGCGCCTTTATTCAAGTTAGGAGACTTGACCAAAGCGCTTTACACTACATTCATTCACCCATTCACGCACACACTCACACACTGATGGTGGCAAGCTACATTGTAGCCACAGCTGCCCTGGGGTTTACTGACAGAAGCGAGGCTGCCGTACACTGGCGCCACCGGGCCCTCTGACCACCATCAGTAGACAATGCAGGTGAAGTGTCTTGCCCAAGGACACAACGACAATGAAAGTCGGAAGCTGCTGAAAGGCCCTCTTTTCAATTGAAGCAGTCCCAAATAAATAAAGTGTAGACCTAAATTGAATTCTGCACATTATTCATCTAGTGTGCCAGGTTAAAGGTATAGTGGAGGATTTTGCTAATTTTTGAAAAGACCCGCCCTCTCCACTTAAAAAGAAAAGCAGATGCACAACCCTGTACCTGCTCCTGAGAGGGGACCCCTAATAAACACGTGTGAGTGCATGCACAAGCCCATTTCTCCTCATTTCTCCACGCTCCGTTTAAAAGTTGCTGTTTGCGTTGCTCACACAAGCTGACTTTCCAAAAGAAGATTTGCAAGTTTTCCACTATGTCAGACTCACCTGTAAGATAGCTACTTGGGGAAAAGCACGTAGGGAGGGGTTACGTAAACTTATCACAAGAATGATTGACAATTAGAAATAGGAAAAAAAAGAAATTAAACTTAATGGATCTCACAATGGAGAAATTAACTCTCTGCATTTAACCCATTCACTTGGGGAGCAGTGGTCTGCCACTGTGCAGCAAACGGGGAATGTGAGGCTAAGGGTCTTGCTCAGGGACCCAGAGTGCTGGCTATGGGGATCAAACCAGGTACTTGCTATCTTCTCAGAGCACAAGCGCACTGCTCTAACCCACAGGGCCAAAACTCCCTACTAGTAGGACCCTCCAGCTTGGAGTACCACTTATTTTGATTCCAGCCGGAAAAAGAATATCCTCCACTATACCTTTAACAGGTTATTGCTGTATGGACAGTTGTTCAAGAGGGAACTGTGTCATCAGAATAATCTTTGGCATTAGTGTTTTTACTAAGAATTTGCATGCAGGGCAAAAGGCTTGAGTTTATCTATGGAACTTACTTTCTTCTTGCCTGCTCTGTTCCATTCATCCCTTATGTCCGACTGAGAACTGGACATTATGGAGGTAGGATATGAGAGTAAATAACTAGTAATTACCTTGTTGACTGATGCTGACACCTGAGAAGGGGCTCTCTGCAGATCCTCCAAAGTTGCAAAGACCTCCTGGCTGCTTGTATATTCAAATACTTTCTTATAAAGTACTAATAGTGCTAGTAATTCTGGTACTAAACACTGTCAAATGTTTTATAATAACCTTCTTTGAGTCATTCTCCCATCTATTTTTTCTCTTCTAATTTTTCTTTTCCTGATTGTATATAGTACCAAATTTAATTTTTAATTAATGATTTCATTAAGGAAATAAAAATAAAACTGCTTCATTAAAAAAGAAATACTTTTTCATGTGTGTTGCAGATTAAACATGTAAGCTTTCTTTGGAATGAGAGAGTAGAAAAAAAGACGCCAGGCACCCATGTAATAACTGATGCTATTTTGCAAAGGCGTCACACGAGAAGAAGTAGTGCAAAGTTTCAAGAACAGAAAAAGACCCAGGGGGGCACGAGAGGGAGTGATCACTTTTTGACTTTGATCTAATCTGATGTTTCAGGATTAAAATCCAAATGTCAGCCATGTATTTTTTGTGAAAATAGAAGGTTAGGTTTCTGTGTTTGGCAAATGGGTGCTGAGATCCTGACGGGGGCTGGGGCATGGCTGAGCAACTTATATGCCAAGCACCCCGCTGTTGCTACAGTCAGTCTAGTCAAGCAAAACCTTTTGTTTCAGTGTGTCACGACCTGTGAAACCCACAGCTTTTTATGCCACTGATTCTAGGTCGGGGGCTGGGGGGTAAAATGGCACATGAAGTATGAAAGAGTAAAAAGTGAACATGGTTATTTATTAGCCAATAAACCCTGGCACGATAATACTGCAGGACACCTTAAGAATTATGTTTCCAAGCTCTACATATTTTGAATCAGCCATACACAAGCACATACACACAAAAAAAGTCTTACACTGGAGATGCAGTTACAGAAAATAGATAGAAAAAACTTTAAATAGGCTTTTAAAATATTCACTATAGCAGCCATGAGTTTGACTCCTCTGCTGGAGGAGGCATTTCTGCCTTTTCAGCAGATTTCAGTTTCATTAATGCGTTTTATTCAACAACAGACTCTGATTATACCAACTGCTAAAGGCTTTCATCCACCAACTGTCTGCAGACCCAACTCTTAATGAATTAGTATCTGCTCTAACCACTCTGCACTGAGAAAACCTATTCCATGTTTATCACCTACTTTGGTCGCAGAGTAACCCCTGTCGTCCAAAGGGGCAAAGACAAACCACCTCCAACTGCGACTTAGGAATGCATGTGGCTCCATGGCGACAGGGTCCACGCTCGCAGGCGGAGAGCTGGCACAGCCGGCCTGTGTAAAGTGGAGGGCACTCGCAGAACCAGTCCTCTGCATCACTGTTGAATGCAGAGAAACAGGGGTTAAGCATGTGTTTTTCACTTTGCCAAACAGAAAAAAGAGAAAAAATGAAGAAAAACCTGATCTGAGTTGATGGGGAAAATAAATGTATCCATCCAAAGGGAACAGAAGTAAAGTCTAGTAATAGTGGTGGAGAAAAATACAAATCCTGTATAACTTTCTCAATTTTAGTAGTTATAGCATAAACAGGCTGTTTTAGATGTCTTTTCAGATAGGTAAAAATATGCACCCTGAATTATAACAGTAGGAAACAGGTCGTTAGCAGTATGTCAGCCAAAGGAATACCAAGAATTTATATAATAGTTTGTGTCTTCCTTGTTCTGCTATTTTCTCTCCCCTTGTACTTTCTCCCTTAGCAAGAACAGAAGGATGATCTAGCATCTGAAGTGATATCCAGACGGGGAACTTTATAAAGTGCTCTTAAGATGTGCACAACTCTAAAAAAGGTATAAGATAAGACAGTGCAAGCATTGGTAGGGTTTCAGACCTATAAATTAATGATGCGTTTTGAGCAGCAGCACTGCAGGATTTATTTTGCTCCTTCAGAAAATTGCTTCTATGAATGAAATATTTACATTCTGCCTTCAAAGTTGAGCATTGTTCGAAAACACTGTGGCCTACTGAGAGGTTTCTTTACAACACAAAATATGCAATATGAATGATTTTGATGATTAACAAATTGAATTCTTTTAACTCAGTAACACAACGGAAACCAGATTCTGTTCCGTAGACTGTATAATAAGACAACTGAAGTGTTTCTATCACTTTCAAATTAAATCATCATAAAATATAAGTTTTGGTTGGGTGGAATAAAAAAAAAAAATTCTACTTACTAAATGGAATAATATAGACTGAAACATTATTGCTTTTTATGTACCTGAAATGCCAAAGTGTAAACAGAAGCATGCCACTTCACTAGCTTCTCACAGCGGCTGGGATTTGTTCCATTCCTTATGTCAAATCTGGTGTAAATTAATCTGTTTTTTTTGTTTTGTTTACATATGCCTTTTTTAGCTCTGCCAACAAATGTTCTATGTAAATGAATTTAAATCTGCTGCTCTTGAACCACTTGTAACTAATTTCGAGGTAAAGTGAGGTTCATTTCAAACTTGGAAGACCCATTTATGCTGAACCCTTACTGTACCTTCATGGCTGATGTCTATTGATGTTCCTTTATTGTTTCCACATAATAATCTCTCCTCATGATGCCTCAGATTTTATGAAATGCATCAATCCTTCCAACAGTCGAACACCCACACAACATAATGCTGCCAATGCCCTACTTCAATGCTGTGAGGTTACTCTCAGACTCACAGGCTTCTGCCTTTTTTCTATCAGACATAAAAATGTTAATAAAGAAGTTTTGGTTTCATTGGATCAAACAGGACTCTAAAATTTTAGTTTTGTTCCTAAGTGCATTGGTAAAATTTAAACAGGCTTTTAAACTTTCCTTCGGACTAATGGCTTCTTCCTTTTTGAGTAGTTTTCAGTCTGTGATGGTATGGGACTGTTAATAGGGAAACCCTCTTACCGGGTTCAGCTATTTTGTTTTTTTCAAGGTTACAAAGAAGCAAAGTGTTTGAGATGTTGTCTCTACAGATTTCCCAGAAATACAACTTACATAACTGTAAATTGATCAAACATAACAAAATCCTTTCATTAAAATTTTTTTATCTGGGCTTGTTTGATCTCAAAATAATTTTGGCGTGTAACCCTTGAATTACAAGAAAGTATTTAAAAAAATAGCTTTCCAATTATTTAGGAATTTAATAGATAACCATAATGTTGGTAATTTCAGATTAAAACAGGAGATGTTAAGTCTGATAAAATGTCAGACCATGGTGAAAAAACCCTTTTCCCTCCACAGTGTATGTAAATATCTTTTTTTGTTTGTATATGGCAGCACATCATGGTTGCCATCTGGTATGCTTTTTGTTACAGCTAGAGAAAGATGGAAAATACTAATAAGACATAACAGAAAAGGCACTTTGTTTTTGCTTTTTCTTTTTTTTTTCATTTCAGAATTTGACAAATGACAAGAGGAAGTTTCTTGCTTTTAGGGCTGATAAATTGCCTTTAATGTTGTCACTTTTAATGTGACTATTACATGAGCTCTCCTCAGCAAGTTGTACAATACTTTATGCAGCTGTCAAAATAAAGTCAAGTTACTTAAAGAGGAGACTACATATATATCATGTCTGAGTCACAGGTGAACAGGTTGAAAATCTTTTTTATTTCCTACATCCATGTAGGCCGACTCTTAACTTGTCAGATATTCCTTTTAAAATATACAGTGTAGGAAATGTGGACCTGGAACGGTGACAGGAAGGTCATTTTCACACATGACATGCATCTCTCAAACTAAAATAGTGCAAAGATTTTCCAGACAAGTGGCAAGTGAGAACGTGATGTCAGTTGACTTTGCACAGGTCTAGCACATATTTTCTACTGTGCCACAGATCAGAACAACTAGAGAGAAAATTCTTGGTGAACATGTTTGTAAGACATTCATATTATACTTTACAAGACTAATCAGAATTTTTGAACATTTTGTCACTGTACAACAAGAATGCATTTTATTAGGATTTTATGTGATGGGGTGACACAGGCAACCTTATGAATTATTCCCTTTTATTCTGATATAAACAAAAAACATTTGGTTTGAACAACTCCTGTCAAAAGTCACATAACTGGCAAATAAAACAGCTTATACTTGTTTGTAATTTAATTTCAATATGAAGAAATTAACCAGTTATTCCATGTAAATGAATCAGTGAAAAGTCAAGGAGCAAAAGGCTAAAGCAGGCTTAAGATAAAAAAC